GGGTAGCTGAAGATGCAGGCGATTACAGGCTTTCATGGGACCCCGATCGGCAGCGCTTTGAGGTTGCTGCTGGTCAAAGCAGTGGCAACATCGACGAGTACGCATGCATGAAGGCTATTTGTGAAACATGGATTCCGTGGCTTGTTCGGCGTCGACGAAGGCCCTTGGAGGTCCGTCCTGTCCGTTCAATCAGGCAAAGGCCCAGCGCTGCCGGCTGAGAAGACCAGTTCTTACCAGCAAAGTAAGCTCCACAGCAATGGACATGCTTGAGTTGCCGATGATGCCAATAGCTGCGTGCGGGAAACGACGGACCGCAGATGCATTGGATGGGCGGCATTGGAGCGTATTCCGGTCTTGAGACTATGGGACCGAAAAGACCTTGGCACAAGCTGATTGTGTTGGAAATGTATCGCTGGATGGAACGGGTCGCTGGAGGAAATTGGTGTCGCTGGAGGAAAAGGTGTCGCTGGAGGAAATGTGTCGCTGGAGGAAGAGTGTGTTGCTGGAGGAAATTGGTGTCGCTGGAGGAAAAGGTGTCGCTGGAGGAAAGGTGTGCTCAGCTTGATGTAACGGCCCGCTTTGGCATGATGCCACGGCTGTCGAAATGCGTCCCACCTTCTTCCTCGCGTCAATCTGCAGTGTGACGAGTAGCGGCTATCAAATCTCTAGCGGTGCCGACGCTGATCGATGGTAGGGCAAAAAGCCAGTGACACCAAGGCAATGCCGCCAGTTCTAGGTCGGAGAGTACGCTGGGACAGGAGCTTTGGGGATGGGGATTGCCTTGTACAGCATTCTGCTTCCTGGGAGTGGATGGCAGGCCTGGTCGTCATCTTCTCTTGCTGCAACACCGCCTCCCAACGCAGCTCAAGGAGACAACATCATAGCAACGGTGCCGAAAAACGAAGTAAATCTGGACGATGATATGGCGCGGACGTTTCGCGATGCCAAGCGGAAGTTGCAGACTGCTGCGCAATCGAGACGCTCGGAGATGTAGGCAATAATTTCTATTGGAAGGCTTATGAGGTTGCTCATGTCTGCGGCAAGTTGAACAGATGCTCATAGCACCTATCGGGCAAAGACTCTCGAATTGGGACAGTTGCTGCTTTGCATATTATGCGATCTGGTTTGTGTCTCGAGGGATGGGCATGGCCAAAAGGTAGATGAAAATGACTTTGAAGCAAAACGAACAATACGGCTGCAGGGTATGGCAAAATCGCTCATCGGGTGGCTAGATCGCCGCCGGCTCACTGGAAGGCGTTTCTATGGCCTGTACCTTTAGCCCTTCGCCTTCATCCCGAGGGTGGCTTTAACGGGACACTGTAGGAGATCGGAGCGCCTGGTGCCCGGCAGGCGTATTAGTGCAAGGCACAACTGCCTCGCAGAGATTGGTGACAGTTTGGGATGACAGGCCGGTGACCCTGCCAATGGTCTAGAAGGGTTAGTACCTAGAAAAGACCAGGCGCATGCTTTTTGCCGCACGGTTACTCGCTTACCGTTCAGTTGGGCATGAATTTTGGCCTGCAGACTGACGGGCGTTCTACAGGGGGCGTCCAGACGTGACCTCCCAGCCATCGTGCCAGACTCGGCAGTCCTGAGCCAAGCATTGCATCTCCTCAGCTCAAGAACGCGACGTCGCATCCCCTGCAAGGGGAAAAGAAGAGATGTGCCAGTGACGGTCAGGCTTGATGGTGACTCACAGATATGCCTGACGCATCCTGCGCTTACTCCTAACGATGTCGGTAAAGTCCAGCAACACCGGCCGTAGTGGTACTGTACATGCACCATCGTCTCTCACCGAACCTTCCCAAGAACGGGCCCCTCGCACCCGCCGCCTTGTCTCCCTGCCCTTGACTGCACAGCCTCCCGCCAGGGGTTGCAAGGTCTTAATGATCAATTAGCGTGTGGCTGCCAAGGTCTCCGCACGCTTGTCTTCTTTGGCGGATGCGACTCGTGACGAGCAGTATGAGCTTGGCGATGTGCCCCTGGCCCAGTATTCCTCGAGAAAAGAGGAGAACGGCAATGCAAGCAAGCAAAAACCCGCCGAGACAAAGCACTCGCAAAACGACAAGAGCAAGAGCAACGCGAAGGACTACGATCGCACCTGTTCCATGTAACGGGTGGAATTGACGCTACCCCTGCTACGACCATTCGGATCTCTCCACGGTCATCCTCGTCGGGTACCTAAGGCCGATGACTATGTCACGCATAGCATCCCTTTCTCACGTCTCCTGACTTCGTAAACAATTCGCTCCCACCAAGCTGACCGGCAATGGACTGACGCTGAGTCGTCCATTGGGGACGGGTTACCTTCACGTCAATCCACTGCCAAATGCGTTGAAGTGACTTGTACAATGATGGTACTCTGCAGCCGATTAGCACTGCCGCACGGTCAGGATACAAGCGATGCTCAGGCACTTCCCGCCCCCTGAAAAGGAGTGTGACGTCGCGGGGTAATTGCCCATCCCAGCCGTCTTCACCAGTGTCCACCATGGTGGACCACCACCCTACACTAGTTTAAATCTCAAGGAAAAACAACTCACACACCTTAATTTATCGTCATACGTTTTAACATGCAATTTTTAGGAAAGTAGCGTATTTTACACCCAACCCAGAGCGGGCTGGTAGCTGATACTGAACCAGCTGAACTGTTTTCTTGTTGTCACACTGGATTTGAATCCCCTTGTCGTCCAGTTTACCGACCTCCTTGATTAGGCGTGAAACGAACGTAGCTCCTTTGACAGACTGGGAAAGAGCCAACAACTTTGGCCTCGGTGGTGACGTGGTCATGCTTGAGTACGTGTGTGATCGCAAGGTGCGGAAATTTGGGTGGCAATCTGAACTCTACATGGTCATGCTTTCCGGCTATGATACTGTAATAAAAAGAAACACGTTTGAGACTTTGAAGCTCGTGTCCCACGAAACACATATCCTCTTCGTGCGATGAGCTCTACTCGTAATCTGCATGGAACCAGGTGTGCCCAAGCACTTTTTGCGCGCTGAGCCGTTGCCCAGGCTGATACCTCAACAAAAGTTCCAAAAGGTCGGCGAAAGCCGTCGCCTCGGGCTCCGAAATGACCTGGAACTTTGGATGCGTGCATGTTGCTCCAGCGCAATCGTGAATCTCGGCAAGTCGATCCTTGATGAGACGGCGAGTCCGAGCATGTCTGTCAACAACGCCATGGGGCTGAGAAGACGGCTTACCTACCGGAAATCCATCACCTGGATCGTTATACCCCAACCAGGATCTTGGGGGAGGACCCAACAGCGAAGAAATCTCATCGACATAGTTCCCTTTGTAAAGCCGACCCAACTGAAAAATATCGAATAACGTTTGGCCAGTCCGCATCTCGTACAGAGTGCACCCTAGAGACCAAAGGTCCATAGATTTGCTGCCAACGGTATCCAGGATGACCTCAGGTGCACCATAATTCGCGGGGATGCCAAAGGAAGTACGTGGTTGTCCTTGGGTTGTTTCGAAAGATTGGCCGAGATCGATGACCTGAGCATGCAATTCAAGTCCGACACCATCAAAGTCCAATGGGTAAACAAGATACCTGGGAGCGAATGGTATATTTGGCGTCGGGTGGTTGTCTTTCCGAATGTTGATATCTGTCGTCTCCGGCTGCCCGGTCATAGAGAGCACATCAGCTTCTTCGAGACGGTCAAGCCCATGAAGTCGTAGAAGAATATTTGATGGACGAAAATCTATATTGCGCGTTAAACGGAGAATCAGAACACTTGCGTGAATGCCAAAGTACCTCCGTGGCAAATATCGCGGTCATGCAACACGGCGAGCGCCCCGACCGCCTGTCGGGCAACTTCTCGAACAGCCCTGGCCGCGCCGTATTCCCGGGCAAGATGCTCCATACTATCCCGTGACAGCTGTCCGAGCACCGGATAAACAAGGCATGTATGCATTCCATTGGGGCTAGAGCTTTCGAAGTGGTCCAGTGGAAGGCACAAATGTTGCCCATACGGGGCCTTACTTATGCCTTCCGCTCTCAGGCGGGCAGTCAAAAGCAGCTCGGGGCTGTGTCTTTGCGAATGGCTAGCGACGAGAACCTTGATGGCGACATATGATGGTGACTCGGCGCTCTGATCTCGGCAGAGCCACACGGTGGAATACCCGCCGTGGCCAAGTTTATGGATGACTCGGTAACGGCCGTCGTGGAGCTCGTCTTGTAGATGTATGGGGTGGTATCCCCCAGGTCGGTAACCATGGAGTTGTTCTAGTCCATCGGGCACACCGCGGATGAAAAGCCTCCTCCAGAGGTCGTCAGCAGCTTGCGGCAGATCTTGCAACGCAGGCTGTGAGCCTAGCTTCGGTGGGCCAGACACCTTAATGGGCGGTTTCAGTACGGGCATTGGGAATTTGAAGACGGCGAAGGAAGGGATTGAGACAATAAGATACTGAGTCTTTGGACGAAGGAAAGGCGATGCACTTTTTATGAGCGGTTCACAGTGGCGTCAAGTGTCACGTGATGATGTGAGGCACGCTGAGTCGTGGCTGCGGCCACTGAGACCGCCCCCCACATCCGGCGGGTCAGCGGCCGAGGCATCGCCCCCCAGTACCTCTTGCAGGATAAGAAGGGTGCAGCTCGCTTGCAAGGCAGAGTCGCTGGGAGCCTGGTGATAATGATGTACTGGCTAATACGGCATAGACATAAACACTTGACCTGTGATAGGCACAAATACATAGCTGACTATTAATCGGGCAGAATGTCCGCTGCTATTGCGCAAAGCAGGAATCTTGATCTATTGGAATGACTCACAGGGGGAAGGCCTTGTCAAGACTAGCCGTGTGCTACGAGTCAATCTACTTGCGCAGCTTGTGACGGCGCATTGAATGCAGAATGCTCTATTGTGCTCAAGATTCTCACACCAGACCAGGGCTGCCATGTTTACTTGAAATGAACGAGCGATCAATATCATTTGACTTTACCGGCTTCTTGCCATAGAAATAGATGAGATTCTCAGCGTACGCTCTTGGATCGCAATGACTAGGTGGCCTTCCCCTTCCCCTTTCTCCTTTTCCTCTTTGCTTTGACATGAACAGGTTCACCCTCCCCCGTAGCGGACTGCGCAGCTCCGGCATAAGAGTCGACGTTTTCCGCCTCCTGATGGGGAGTGTAGTACTGCTGATAGATGAGGCTCTCGTAATACTGATAGTATGCGTCGCCCAAATAGTACGGATACGAATTTTGATCCTCGTCATACAAGACAATGGGTGCTCTAGCACCGTCGAACTCAAACTCGTCCGGATGAAGAAGTCTCCACGGTGTACCATCTTCATAAAGATTGAGATAAATATGGCCTTCAAATTCGAAATCTGCGTCTGCGCTCCCTCCCGGCTGGCGGTCTGCGAAAATTGTCACGTGTTCGTCGTCGCGGACGTCAGCTCCACCAAGAGACGTAGTCCCGTGGGCGTGGCTTCTATCTCGCGATGTATTAGCAGGTGCCCCGCAACAGAGCGACGGCAACCGGTTTGAACCACGTAGTAAGCAATGTACCTGATATACCAAACCCCGAGGCCCGTAGCCCTTGCAGCGTCGCGTACCATCTGTTCATACATTTCACCGCTTTTCTTTGGGCGGCCGATGAACCAGACAATCTTGCGACTGTTAGTGCGAGATGCTTCATGAGGGAGACGGGTAACAGCTTGCCTTAGGGTCTTCAGCGGTCCCCTGACCCTCTGTCGTCGCCTTTGGGGTATATGTCCTGCGAGATCTTACGCGTTTTCGCGCCGACTCCTTCTCCTTACCCTTGTTCTTCTTGTTGCTACTCTCGCCACGGCGAGAACTACTCATGGTTGCGTAGAACGTTTCGGTGAAATAGGCGTACAAGGAATAGAAAGACCTATGATTCGACCCGGAAAGCCTAGTTCGTGCCCAGGTGCCCAGGGACTGAGTCTTATACTTCACGCCCAATGCTTCTGAACGAAGAGCCCTCTACGAAGCGAAGTACAAACTCCGCCTTGTCCATGGCACTGAACAGGTGGCCAACCAATGACCATGGGCGTCAAAATCTGACGCGCACACCGGTTCCGGGTTCATAGTTCAGTCTGCACCACAGCGTAACAGAAGCAATGGCGCGGGGTCTTCATACTCAATCCTCGATGAGACCGCACAATGTGTATGGATACACCAAGACCAATCATACCACAAGTCAGCGAGGGGCTAGTACTGCAGGTGCGTGTCATGATTGATCGTCGCCGGTGGCGCCCATTCATTGTCGGCCAGAATCACGCCGATAACAGCTCAGCCTAGTTATGCCTTGCTGGTTTGAGGATGTTGCACGGACGCTTGGCTTACGCCAATGTCACACTTAGCGGGGCGGGGTGTCATGTTCACTTACCATTCCTGGCGGACGCGAGCTGGAGTCGGGCGGGACCGGGGTCTCGAACCCGAGTCCGGGCTGGAAGCAACCTGGAAGTGACGACATTGCTGGGTGATAACCCGCTTGGAGCGTGTCGCGCCGCCCACTGTTCTCTCTTTTCTCGCGCTAACCGCCTGGCCTCCCCCAGCCTGGCGCCCCAAACCTGAGATGCCTTCGGCGGGGTTGTGCAGGGATTCGATGATCCATTCAAAAGGTGAGATCGTCACACGCTTGGCTTCTTTCGGCGGATGCGATTCGCCCAACATATTGTTTGCTCATCAGCAAAACACGAGTCGCAAGCTCTCCAGAACAAGGTCACGGCCCCATAGTTCAACGGCCGCGCGCGCGTGTTACACGCCTCATCGGCGGCCAAGCAGCTGGCCTGTCGGTATCAACCCATGTCCAGCTGTCGATGTCCGCGCTGATGGGATAGAAAGGCCGGCCACGAGTCAAGCTCAACGGGCACCTTCGGACGCGTCCGATCCCCTTGTCACCGCTTGTCAAGGCATGTTTGGTCCTTGATTCATTGTGACTCGAGCCGGGTGCATGGCCATCTAACTTGTGCTTTTTTAGCTATGGGCAGCGATGTGTACCAAGGATACCGGTTCACATCTGCAGAGGACCGATGGTCTCGAGCTGCTCTCGGCAACAATAGCATGTTCATGCGAGGTGTCTGCGCCGCCCGTGCATAGGCGATAGCATGCCTCTTCGCGTCTAATTTTGCCTGCGATGATGAGAGGAAAGTTGACCTGTGATTCGTCATCTATTGCGAGTCGTGCTTTCCTTGGTCCGAGAGATACGGGACTTCAACCCCCCCTACACTGAGCTGGCAGGACTTGGCCCCATGCGACTCGCACACGGTCCCGCGTGCCTGCATGCCGCACGGTGCATCGTCATGACAACGAAATGGAACCCTTTTGTCCAATAATGTACGCGGAATGTCGGGGACCTGGCGTTCAGCAAGGCACAAAAATAAGCCACGTGATCGGCATGATTCTGGGCAAGATTGGGCTTCACTAGCGGCAACTAACCTGACGCCGTGAACGGGGGCAAAGCCAGCCCCTCTAATCTTCCCGCCCGCACACCATAGACGAATCGACCTTGAGGAGCAATCACCAAGATCGAAACGCTCCTAAATCCCAGCCCTCTGGCCATGGCAAGGGAGCAGTCCCTACGGTTCATTATCGCAAACGCCGATGATTTCGAACCTACTCAAAGGCGGCCCCATGGCCCGACTGTGCCGCCGTCAGAGAAAAGGAAGCGGTGGGAGCCAATAATGAGGAAGCTACTGGCAGAGAAGCTTCCGCAAACGGAGCAGGATTGGGACCGCATCCTCTGTACACAGGATGATGTGGAAAGAACACTCCAGACGCTTGTGCTCTCTCATCTCAGCCCGGCGAGAAAGGCCTCCCTAAGTTGGAAGGACCTTTTCAGCGAGTGCGCGGAGCATTTCCAGCGATTGGCCCGGGAGAAAGCAGGTGAGAACCTGGTCGAACTCTTCAAATTGGCCGTAATCGGCGTTTCCGAAGTTGCCATAAAGGAAGGCGTTGCGAGAGACGAGATATATGAATATTTGCGGCACTGTCTGGGGCATTACAGCAGGTCAGGGCAGCAGCTTGGCGATGAGACCCTCCGGAAGACCGTCAAGGCAACACGAGAAGGGATCCAATTTGTTGAGCGCTTCGTGAACATACTTGGACCGCGGTCCAATGAGCTTCCTCTATACGGTATGAATAGTCCATTTTTGGGGTGTTAACGCTAAGGATGACCCAGTGGCATCGTGGACGACGGTATTCCTTAGCTACACCGCGGAGTGCGGACAGTATATTGAGCAACACAAGTCCTCTGTGTACCGACCAAAACGGCAGTTACAATCAGGGTGCCTGTCAGTTATCAATCTGGTATATTTGTTACTAGGTGGCAAGTATTGTGGACGAGAGTAATACTACTAATTCACCGTATGTCTTTTGTCCGGCTGACGAGTAATGCAGTCCTCGAAAGATCCGCGATATTTTCCTCTCGGACCAAATGCTGGCTTGTCAGAGCCGATTAGGGGTCAACTTTCCTACATCCTCCTCATTGCAGGCATGTTATCGGTTTTCTTCTGCACCACGTCAACGAGCGTCCACTAGGCTCTACGCCTTGGGATACCGTACCATTGAGCTTCAACAGGTGGCAATATCTGACATCATGACCGACATTCTCATTACGCGTCCTACTCAAAGAGCACAGGGCTTGTACTCGTATGGGCTTTCCCAGGCTTGCGTGGAATACTTCGAAGCCGCTATCAGGGAGAAGGTAGGTGGCGGACAACTATCATAACCCCGGCCCAACTCGACGAATGCTAAGTATAGTGTAGGCTGTCAAGCTCAACACCTTGCCATCGATGCAGGGTGCTACACTTGAGAACCTTCTCACCCTACCCGCTGAAGCGTTCCGAAGCGAAGTGGGGACCGCAACCTGGCCAACCTTGGGTGGCGCGCTTCTGCTTCCGCTCACAAATGCAACAGTTGATGTCAAGCTACTGGATCGATGCACGGAGACGGCGCGTCGCAGCGCCTGGCATTCAAATCAAGTCATGTACCTGGAGCATGAGGGGCTTGCTGCTATCAATGGTAGTATCCACTATATTTATGCCCCCATTGACTTGCCCGGCTAGGTTGCTGGTACCAAAAGAGGACAACTTTCTGCCTATTACTCGGTGCCGTTACGTGGGGGGTACCCAAAGATACTCTCGATTTGTGAATTTGTTGCAGCTGTATTTTGCCTTTTGTAACTGGACGAGTTCGTCCTTTGCAGACTTTGCGGTGACACCCGCGTAGGAAGCTGAGTTTGGTCTGCCTCACAACTTGTCAAACAATGAACCAACCAAGCGTGAGACCCCATGCCCTATGCTTATGTCCGCTGTCTGTGCCTTCATCTAGCCGGGGTTGCTTGCCCAATCTCGCCAATCACCTGCAGAATAGCTCCTTCCACAAATTCTTCGCCTCGAGCGTCCAGTTCATTGATTGGAAGGTCCCCCAGTCCGGCCATAAATACAGCCGTTGCTCCATTCTTGGCGCCGTTTACAGCGTAGAATTTGTTTTCGCCACACCGTCCTCCACTCAGAACCATCCATCACGCCAATCGCCGCAGGCACCTGGATCGTGAACGGGCCACGAATGCTTGTGTTGCTACACAGGGAGCGCGTACTCCAGTAACGCTCCAGAGACTGCATATCTGATAGGTATCGAAAGTGGATGTGGATCGTCCGCGCATCGTCGCACGTTTGGCACAGCCCCGCCTTGAGTTCGACGTGCGATTCCACACGCCTGGTCTTTGGGCACGCCGGGTTGTGACTGCACTCCTTGGGCTCGACATTGTTTATATGGCCGCATTTGAGTGCAATATCAGTGACGAGATGCTTGACCATCGTGGGAAGGTGTCAACGAGGTTCCGTTGGCTTCTCTGACGTACACCTGGGGTTCCCTGCCTTATATTAGAAATCATTCTGGCTCGACATAGTGCTTGTGCGCGCTACACCGCATCGCACTGTGAGGAGATGGACTAACGCTCGATCCGAGCAAGGCCTCGGAGCGAGTGGCCAGTAAGAGCGGTCTGACACTGGCTACCGAGCCTCTCTCAACACTTTTTCTTCTTCTTGGCCTACAGTCCTGCGGAGCTAGTCAATCCTAATACGGTTGTGGCACTAGCGCACTGCCACGCGCATGAAGACGAGAAGTGGCCGCCCCTGGCATGTAGTCAAGCGGCAGGTCTGTACCTGTTGCGCCATGCGCATGCGCATAATAATCCTTGTCATCTGCGTGCTCGGGCATGATTGTGGAAATGGTATGGACCATTGCTATGAGAACTTTCCGCTTGCTTTGATTCACGTACAGTAGCAGAATCTAGACGAGGACGCTTGAAAGCGACAAATATGGCACCAATAGCGATGTAGTTGCAACGCATCATGAACAAGACGTGGCATGCACCTCCTCTTTCTCCCATCGTAGACCTTCCTAGCCTAAGCTTCCGCGGGCTTGGCTTGCTTGACCTTGGGCGCTTTGCCATTTCTGGCGGACGCGAGGAGCGAGTCGTGCTGCCCTTGTTCCCTCTTCTCCCGCACGCTCAGGCCCCGCACCTGGGCCCCCGGACGAGAGTTGACCAGGCGTCGCGCTGCGGTGGGGCGCTGCAGGGGCCCGATGATCTACTCGCAGGTGAGGTCTTCGCACACTTGACTTATTCCGGCGGATGCGGTCCGTCCGGCAACTAAGTACGAGGCGCTAGCCTCTACCCTTCCAACAAGTATTTAGAGAAGGCGGCTGGGCGGAAGCTTCACCGGTGTGGAGCAATGGATGTCGACCGAGCATTCCTCCGCAAATCTTGAGGGGCTTCTTGACCTAAGCAGTTAAATTTGACAGCGTCATTGTAAGAGAATCCAAGGCCTTTGGCT